TCTCTCTGTCAAATAAATAAATAAAATCTTAAAAAAATAAATAAAAAATAAAAATAGAAACAAAAACATCTACCCGAGTTAGTGGAAAGTTAATTTTTGAAATATATGGCAGTATAATTTTAACCTTGTAATACCACAATGAGGAAAGATGTGAAATAATTTTCTTTGGTCTAGAGAGAGAATTTGCAAGCATGCTATGTTCAGTAACATTCAGGTGTGAAAGGACCATTATTTTTGATATTGACTACTCTCATAATTTAGTTTATGGGATTTGAGGTATATTTTTCTGCACTTATTGAAAATCACCATATTTTATTTGCGGAATATATGATTTGCTCATTCATTTCTATTTCATGAAAATTAAATTTTAAAAAATATTTTCATTTGGATTAACATTTTAAGTGTCATAATTTGCTGTTTCTGAATATTTAATGTATGCATATATAATATTTTATAATGTGTATTAGTAAAAAGAATCCTTCATTTTGTAGTAAAGATAATTTATATAAACAACAGAATTAAACTATAGTGACAGAATAAAAGTATAGATTTGACCTCTCAGAGGTCTGTATCATCTCTCTTGTTCATAAAATCTAGTTGTTTCCAAAACTGCTCCTTACTAGCATGCTTTTAAGTTTAATTTAAACATTTTCCTGGTTTCTTTTAATGTTTATGGTGAATACTAAGTATGCTTTTATTCACTGTCAAAGAAGGTTGTATTGTGTGATACATGTTTTTTGTTTTGTTTTGTTTTTTTAAGGTTGCATTTTGGACACTTGCATTTGTCCTCTCTCATCCCACTGTCCATGAGACCATTCTGGAAGGCATATCTTCTGTGTTTGGCACAGCAGGTACTAAACCTGAATGAACTTACCTGGTTGCAGAGATATCTAATGTGTGCTTGTCACATGTTATGGGCAAAACTAAATGCCCAGAATTTTATAGAAATTGAGCATAATCCAAAATTGAACACAAGTTGTTGTGTGTTTCAGGATATAAACTGATCAGGAAGATTCCTAGAATTTAATTACTGTCCAGGTGATTTTAGAGGGCATCTAGTCTAACCCCCTTACTTTCCAAATCATGAAAATGCTGGAGAGATTGTGATTTGCCTAATTTCCCTACTTAAATGTAAATACACATACACACACACACACACACACATACACACACAGGCTTTTTCTTCAAATCTCTTGGCCCCTCAATTATTTTTGGAATTCAGGATTTTCTAGATTTTGTAAAAAGTAATACAGTGCATATATTACATAACACAGATGTCAAGTAAGGTTTTGTCACCAAAGGAATTGTTTTAAAAGTTAGAGATTTGGGGGGTTAGAACTGTAGATGGGGATTGACACCTTGTATTTTTTAGTTCAGATTTGGACTCTTCAATCATCATCTGTTTTAAAAAAGCAGAAATAAGCTTGAATGGAGAGAGCGTTCAACTACTTGTTTATTTGACCTGTTTGGAAGTAGTATCTTTTAGAAAAACCTAAATATGTCAAATTATGTATTCTGATATAAAAAGAATAATAAATTACTTGGAAAAAAACAATGTAATAGGACAAAAGGTAGGATGCCAATTGACAGCACCCCCCTGCTTCATGATTGCTGAAAATATTTTATTTGATATTTCATTCTTTATTTTCTACTGCTTCTTAATGAATTAAAGGCAGAAAGCAAATTGGCTTGCTCAACATCACTATCTAAGCCATACTGTCTCTTGAGCCTTGAGTCTTATCTCATAGAAATAGTGAGGATTAGAATCACTGAGTACAAACCATGCTAACAAGTTAGATTCTGGAGATACGTTAGTGAGTACAGGAGAAAACTACTTGCCTTTATGGAGCTTACCTCTACAAAGTTAGTGGAAATACTCATGCCTTTACGTCCACAAACAATAAAAGGGAATGTGTCCTTGACCGTCACATTTCCGACTTCAGCATTTCCTTACTAGAGTCTACTCCTCATTTAGGGTTCTCCAAAATCCTGGTCTTTAGGAAATCAAGAAGTAGTTATGGGATGGTGGAGATAATGCTGGGAGCCTGTCTGACCCAAAGGCTACAACAGAAGTATTACATTCATCTAAGTGTCTACAATACTTGAATCTTGAACTCTTGAACACAGTCCAATGGAGAAAGACAAAACCTTTATTCTTTTTCTACATTCTGGTTTATTTTTAGAACCCATTGTTCTCCACTGACAGACAAAGGCTCCTCCAAATAGCGATACCAGTGTATTAGCTACATATATATCAATGCTTTCAGTTTTTAAGACTCTTGCAAACTTGAAAACAATTTACATAAAATATCAAATGTTTTTGCTGTGTTTATACGGAAGCAATTCAGATCAATTCATGTATGAGATGTAGTAGCAGCTCAGGAATTTAGATGTGAGAGGAAATTACTCACTCGCTCTTGGAGGTTGATATTAAAGAAGATATCCACGTGCCCATACAAAGGATCCTGTCAAAGAAAGCACATTAGAGTGCATGGAACAAGAATCTGACTCAATACAGCAGTTCTCCATTCTTAGTTCTTCACTATTACAAGATGACCATTTCTTTCTTGGAGATGTCCTTAGTGACTTGGACACCTCTTCACATCTCTATGGCCTCAGGCATGTTGCTCAACTTTCTTATAAGTTTCAGGGTACAAGCTGCTATTGAATCATTGGTCCTTTGTGTCTGGCTTTTTTTCACTTAGCATAATGTTTTATTTTGTATCATGATGTTATACATTAATTGATTTTCACATGTTGAATCTCCCTTGCATTCCTGGGATAAATCCTACTTAGTCATGTGGTATAATACATACAATTTTAATGGCTATAAAATATCCATATTACATATAGGTATTTATATCCATAGAGCATATATCATTTTTATGTTGCTGGATTCAATTTGCTAGTGTTTTATTAAGGAATTTTAGGAATTTTACATCTATATTAATAAGGGATATTGATTTATGGTTTTCTTTTCTTGTATTTGTCTGGGTTGGGTATCAGGATAATTCTGGCTTTATAGAGTGACTTCAGAAGTATTCATTCCTCATATTTTTTGGAAGAGTTTGTGAAGGATTGATGTTAATTATTCTTTAACTATAGGATAGATTTACCAGTGAAGTGATCTGGTGCCGAGATTTTCTTTGTGAGAAGTTTTTGATTAATTCAATCACTCTACTTGTTACAGGTCTATTCAGGGTATATATTTCCTCTTTTTTATTAAAATATAACTGACACATAACACTGTATTAATTTTAGGTGTACAATGTAATGATTTGCAATATGCATATGCTATGAAATGATCACCACAATCAGTTTAGTTAACATCCATTATCACAGAGCTATAATTTTTTTCTTGTGATGCAAACTTTTAAGATCTACTTTCTTATCAACTTTCAAATGCATAATACAGTGTTGCTAACTGGTTGCCATTGCTGTACATTACAGACCCAGAAAAATAGGGACACTGAACGAATTTGCATGTCATCTTTATGCAGGGGCCATGCTAAACTTCTCTGTATTGTTTTACATTTAGTAACACTATTTTTTCTTGGGTCAGTTTTGTAGTTTGTGTCTTTTTAAGGAATTTATCCATTTCATCTAAGTTATTTAACTTGGTACATATAACTTCATATTATTGCCCACAATCTTTTTTATTTCTGTAAAATCACTAGAAAATTATCTCCCTCATCCTTGATTTTAATAATTGTGTCCTCTCTCTTTTTTCCTTGGTCAGTATAGCTAAAGGATTGTCCATTTTGTTTTCAAAGAACTAGCTTTTGGTTTTGTTGATTTTGTTTGATTTTATTTTTTTATATCACTTTTCTATTCACTATTTCATTTTTCTCTGTCCTCATCTTTATTATTTATAATTTATATCTCTTTATGAATATTCTTTATTTTGTTCTTTAAACACAATTTTTCTTAAAGTCTTTGACCATATTTAAAATCTCTTATTTAAAGTCTTTTTTTTTTTTTCATAAGTCCAACATTTGGGTTTTTTCAGGGATAGTTTCTACTGATTGCTTTTTTCCCCTGTGTATCATCTATGTTTTCTTGTTCCATGTATTATTGGATATTTCTCATTGCATGTCTTGCTTTTTTTTTTGAAAACTGGACATTTTAAATAATACAGTGTAGCAACTCTGGAAATCAGATTCTCCTGTTTCCTCATGGTTTATTGCTGTTGCTGCTTGTCATAGCCTTGTTTGTGTGTTTGTTTATTGACTTCATTAATTCTGGAAATTGTGTATTATTACACTGTATTTTGTATTATTATCATGTGTGGCCACATATGTTTCTGCTTGGTTAGTTTAGTATTCAGCTAATAGTTGGACAAAGATTTCTTTACACTAAGAACCAATAAGACTCCCATATTTGCATGTTTAGGATTTTGTTTGCATGTTGGAGCATGCCTTCAACACTCAACTAAGCAGTTGGTAGCACTGCCTTAACTTTCACTTCCCACTTGCACAGAAACTCAAGGTCAGCCATAGGTAGACAGTAGAGCCTTCTCAGGTCTTTCCTGAGCCTGAATGAGGCCTTGGGCATTTGTGCAGTCCTACAAAATTGCATGCATTTTTATATTTCCAGGAATACACTGGACCTTTTAAAGCCCCGGGGACGTCTCATTCCCTAGCTCTTCATTTTAATCTTTTTGGTTTGCCTGTTGTTTGTCCAAACTGTTATCTATTGCCTCCCGTAGCTGCAAAGTTAATTATCCTTAAAGGTTTCCAACCAACACCCCTGGGGGAAATTCCACTGTGTGAGTTCCAAGTCAGGTCAGATAAAGATAGTCTTATAAGTGGGACCTTTCAGGACCTGCCAGATAGGTCACATAATGAGAACTCTCTAGGAATGAGGTCTTGAAGGAGTTCCAATCTTATTCTGACCCCTCTGGTAACTGCTGGGCTGCTGGTTTGCACTGTGGTTGTAGGCTATTGGTTTTCAAGGCTACCGTGGAGCTATGGAGAGACGGATGGGAATAGGGCAAGTTAAAGTGTCATTAAGCTTGTTCTTCTTACGAAGATTTAGCCATTTTTCTTGGATAAACACTCCCTGGGTTGCTGCAAGCCTTTGGTTAATTTCCAAAGTTCTGAAAAAGTTGATTCTGACAAATTTTATCAGATTTTTCATTGATTTTAAAGAGGGACTCTTTGGAGTCCTTAGTCTGCCATTTTTGCTGACATTACCCTGAACCGTAAGTTTTAAAATTTCCTTTAGGAAACCTTCCAGATTCATTGTTAACCCTTCATTCATCTATTTATCTGGTGGCCCTCAAATATCTTTTTGAGTACTCACTATGTCAAGGCATTATATGAAATATCAGGGCTATGAAGATGAGTGTGTGGTGCATGCTCTCAAGGAAGTTCATGAATGAAGTGCATTTTATAAAAATGAAAACAGATTTGGAAGTTTACAGAAGATGTTAGGAGAGAGAAGGGAACATTTACGATGTTTCTTTGGAGATGTGCACTTGTTGATGAATTCTGTAGGTTTTCTGTACTTGGAACCTTTTCCTTGTTTTTATTCATCTTTCAGTCAGCTTGAATGTCATTTCCTCAGATAGATCTTTTAGGCTTGCCCTGTCTGAAGTCACTTTCCCTAACTCTGTGCTTAGTGATTCTCTGACTCACCTCACTATTTCCTTTGTAAGAATGATTTTTTTGTTTATCTATATCTATCTATCTTCTGCCTCCTTCATCAGAACATAGTCTCTCCAACAGCAGGAACAATGTCTATCTTGGTCTCTATAGGATCCCCAGCTGCCTAGAACCCAAATCACACAAGTATTTTCTGAACAAATTTAATGAACAAATACAAGCATATATTTTAAGAGATGAATGTCTTAGTTTAGCTTTCATTTGTGGTTTTATCACCTATCCCATTAGACAGCTTATATGAAATGAGTATTTTATGTAAAGAAGTTTCGGATAAGTTTCTGCCTCTAAGTTTTGAGTTAATAGAACCCTAGTTTCAGCCAATATCTAATCTGTGCTTTGAGACACTCAGTAGTCTCAAGTCCAAGAATCCACAAGAATGGTAATGAATGCTGAACATGTCTCTAGGGTTTTGGACTCTATAAAGCATCTTCTTGATTATGGTTTTATTTTACCCATTGATCCTGGGTGAAATATACATTATCAAATTATTGAGTGTCTGATGAAGAATATTTTGCTTTGTTACAGAGTTTTTGGGCATAATTCCTGGAAATTAGTCATTTTGTTTTAAATTTTAATGTGTAGATCACCACACATTTTTTCAGTTGCCTGTCCTAACCTCAAAAACATAGTGCAGATATGGGGGTCAGAATGCCTGCATTCAAATCCAGTCTGAGATCCTTACTACTGGTTAATTCCTTATTCAAGTTGCCAAATTCTTTAAGCCTTTTTCCTCTTCAGGCAAATGGCAAAATAAGAATGCCCATCTCATGGAGTTACTAGGAGAATATGGTAAAATATAAAGTTGACAGCACAATGTCTTTCAAACTGTAATCATTTTATGAATCTTAGCCATGACCAAAACTGATATAACCGTATTAATTATATGAAATTTTATAACCTTGCCATATCATGAAATTAGTAACTATTATGACTTCGAATTTTTCTACTTCTAAATATTAGTCAGTGTTGTTTTTCAAAATATAGTTTTCCAGGTGCTTGGATGGCTCAGTCGGTTAAGCATCTGACTCTTGATTTCAGCTCAGGTCATGATCTCAGGGCTGTGAGATCAAGCCCCACATTGGGCTCCACCTGTCTCTCAGTCTCTCTGTCTCCCTCTGCCCCTCCCCTCTCTCACGTGCACACATACATGTTTTCTCTTGGTCTCTCTAAAATAAAATGTATATATATGTATCATAGTTTTCTGGAGTGTTTACAGCAATAATTGAATTATTTTATATCAGTTGGCCATCCCTTTAAAGAGACTGAATGCAGTAGAAATATAGCATGAAGATATTTCTGTCTAATATTATCCTAGGAGGTAGAAATAGTAGCAACAATAATAGCTAACACTTAGCTAGCTCTTAGTAAGTACCAGGCCCTGTTCCAAGTGCTTTTCTTATTGACTCCCTAATCCTTGAATCATCCCTCCTAAATGTTATTATTTATATGCATTTTAAACATGAGGAAAATGATGTGCCAATTAGGTAGCTTACCCAAGACCACACAACTAGTAAGTGACAGAACTACAGTTTGAACCCATGTTGGCCTGGCTCAGGAGTTGATAATACAAATTATCAAATCTCCTTATTTCAAAATTATGCTCGGAATGTCTGAATTAACATGCTGAGGTCCAGTTTCCAGCTTAATTCCAAGGCGTGAACATATTAATCTTCCTAAAGCATACCTCTAGTTACATTGCATGTGTATTCAGAATATATTCCTGGAGTAATGTTCATACCCCTGAGCCTGAAACCATAGCCTGATGGTCTGATCCACCTTTGCAATCAGTATAATAATCTAACTAAGGTGGCCCCTTGAATACCCTCTAAAACTCTCTTCATTTTCTTTCTGCTGTTCTATTTAGTGTAAATGTAACCCTAAATGTGATTTAATTTTGATGCCTTTAGAAGACCATACATAAGTAAACTTGTAGATTAGAAAAGTATTTTCTAAACTATGTACTTCATTCTTGGGTCAGAAAATATGACTACTATGTTCATAACCAAGGTGATTTCTAAAACAAATGTATTATAACTGTCAGGAGAGTGTAATTTACCCCACCCAAAAAATGGTGACTGATAATAAACACCATAAAAGATAGCTAGTTTGTGGTTTATGTGTAGAATCATCTTTACTTATTGTGTACCTATGCCTTCTTCTGACCAAGGCCACCTGAACATGTGGATCCCTAGTTAATGACCTCTGAGGCTCTGTTCCATTAATCACCAATCCCTTGGTAAGTTCAGCTGCTCTACTGGCTCTTTGCCCTTGATCTGTCAGATCCAGGTACTCTGTACTCAGCAACATCGAGTGACTTCACATCTCACTCAGAATAAAATCTAAAGCCTTCATGTGGCTGTGGAGACTTTTTGTCATCTCAACAATCTTGTCTCTGTCACCCTGCCTCTTATTTATTTCACCCCAGCCATATCCATTCATTCATTGAACAAATATTTATTGAGCTCCTATTATGTGCCAACAACTATTTTAGGAGTTTGGAGTGCACAAGAAAAACAACAATTACTTCCCCTTTGGTGCTTACATTCTGGTAGGGGAGACAGACAATAAATCAATGTAATGCATAAGTAAGCCCTAAAAATATTAGATGGGGACAAATACTGTGTAGAAAGAAATCAGAGCAGAGCAGGGGAACAGGTGGGAGCATTCAGTAGCTGGATCAGCGTGGGTCTTAATGGCAGATGAGATCCAGGAAAGGACTTGAAGATGGTTAGGAGTTAGACAAGCACGTATGCAAAGGAAGAGCTTGTTGGGGTCAAAGACTGCAGGTGTGGCCTCACTGTGTTCTCACAGAATTCTCTTGGATCGACATCATCTGTGGCATTTTTGTGGCATTTTGTCCAGAGAAGAATGTGAGCATATTTCTAACAAATGAGAAATAACCTGATTTACTATATTAGAAATATATAAAGAGGAGATGTCATGGTTTTCATTGCAGCGGACATCTTCCCCTTTTCTTGACAAGCATATGCCTCATCCTTCCTAGTTTCCATCCTCACAAGAACCTGCTAGAATCATGGCTTCCAGACTTCCGTTTTCACTGACCTTCTGCCCCTATGGATGGATATTTCAGGTGGAAAAAGTTCACTGTGGGACACCTGGGTGGCTCAGTGGGTTAAGTGTTTGACTCTTGATTTTGGCTCAGGTCATGATCTCAGGGTTGTGAAATCAAGCGTTGGGCCCTGTGCTGGGCGTGGAGCCTGCTTAAGATTCTCTCTCTGCCCCTTCCCCACCCACCCTGCTGTCCTCTCTCTCTCTCCCTTTCCAAAAAAAAAAAAGTTCACTGCAAGGTGATTGCAGCAGAAAATCCAGGTGGATGTGTCTTCTCTTCCTCATCGAGCCCCTCTTACCACCACTGGAGATCACTCCCCTTCTCCTCCTGTGGCTCCATTCACTTGCCCCGATAACGGAACTTTATCATTTCTTCTTTTTTTCTCCACATTAGTCACTCTGGTTACTCCTTCTATAATTTATCAGCAAGGTTTCTTAGAGGCAGCTGCAGAACCTAACTAGGCTGATTTAGTGAAAAACCAAATGTATTACAAGTTTATGAGTTCACAGAATATCTAGGAGGACCGAACACCTAGGCTTGGAGGATACACAGCCTGAAATCATGCTCCACATCAGGCTGCAGAGCTGCTGTGGCAAGCGCAACGCTGCCACTAAATGCCGAGCACATTGTGGCCACCGGCCCAAGACCCTAACGATGCTGGGTCCTCAGGAACCTGATCCTGCGAAACTTGCAGTTGCTGCCCCAGAACACTCTTCCAGTCTCCACTTCTTTAGGTCACTAACTCTTGACGCAAAGCTTGGGTTGGTCAGTCTGACTGGTAAGGTCTTTTCTTCATGGTAACATCCTCGCTTCAAGGGTGGCAAAGAAAGCAAGAATCTGGCATTTTTTGACTTGATGATAGGCAAGCTTCTGTTGAAACATAGCGTTCAGATAGTGCATAGCCAAAACTAACACATATCAATATGTGTATGTAACATAATATATATCTTTACATAGGTACATGAGTATAGGAAATAAGTATATTATATTACTATATAAATATATTTTTATTAATATAAACACATTTCATAAATATAACTATGTACCGTTATATCTGTATATTTGTGTACATATTCACATGCATCCCTTACCTGTTCCCAGGTGAGGTGACCCCTTGCTAACAGATTCCATGAAAGGAGACAAAGTATAGTTAAGTCTTCTCACCTTTCTCAGGAAACGTCATACTTGTACGAACTCTGAATTTTAAAAAACAGTGCAATAATTAACTGACACACCTTTGTATTGACCAAAGACAAATACTTATCTTCTTTATTCTGTTTATTTAAAAGTTCACGCACTTACAGTTCGAACAAACTTGTTATATGTGTTTGATAAAGAAAGGGAGGGGTTTTTTCTGAATCTCTTCTTCTTCCTATAGGGTTTTATCTAGTCTCAGTATCCTGAATGTTGTACCCATAGAACTGTTCTAAGAAGAAAATTAAGTGACTCATATTTTTACTTTAACATTAAACTACATATTATGCCATGTTTGGCTTTATTTAAGTATTTGCATTTTAATTTAAGTGTCCTTCCATTAACCTACCATGATGGTTTACTTCTCTTCTCTTTTTTATTTTACTTAAGGTGTAGAAATACATATTTAGATGCTTCTTGCATTTTTAGCATCATAATACTTTGTATTTTCAAGATAACTACTAAAGGACTGCTGGATCATAAGAGATTAACCAACACAACGTAAATACTCATATTTATGAGCAACTGACCAAAAGCAATCTCAGGCATTAACATTTGGGTCCTGTTCAGACTATTATAAAGCAATTTTCCTTTCTAATTCTGTACCCCCATGCTGAATGTCTGCCCACCAGGAGAGGGTCATTCTATCTTAAAAACAAAACAAATAAAAATGCAGTTGTAGTTTTTAGCTGGTTGTATTGGCCCTTTCTACCTATTCTTTTTAATGTAAGGGAGCATTAATACTTTTTTTCATGCAGTTTTACTGTGTGTTTATTTAAAGGAAAAATTCATAAAATTTTTATGTTAATATACAAGGAACCAGATTAGAAATAGAAATTAATAGAAATTGCATCTACATAGAAATGCATCCCTGTCTTCTATAGAGTCATCCATTTGTGCATCATAAAAGGTACATTACCAGATTTCCATTGGATTAGAGTCAGGAACTTGATTCATGAGTTTCAGTCGGGCCACTCACTAATAGTGTGACTTTGGATACAGGAGAAAATTTACTCATTGCCAACCATTGTTTTTTGGTTCCCTTGTGTTCTGATTTAGCATCAGTCCTGACTGGAGACTACTGACATTGACACTATCCGAGTAGCCAGATGCTATTACTTGGTGACATTGACTTACATGGCTACATTCACCATACACTGGTGAGAAAAGATTCTGTCTCTGCTCCTAATTATAAACAAGTATAAAAACTAGCAGAGTGATAGGGGTGCCTGGGTGGCTCAGTCGTTAAGCGCCTGCCTTCAGCTTAGGTCATGATCCCAGGGTCCTGGGATCGAGCCCCGCATGGGGCTCCCTGCTCTGCGGGAAGCCTGCTTCTCCCTCTCCCACTCCCCCTGCTTCTGTTCCCTCTCTCGCTGTGTCTCTCTCTGTCAAATAAATAA